GTTGCTACAGCAGTCAACAACACAGACTGTAGAGAAGAATCTGATGTTTCTTTAGATTATTTTGAGTCTCTATCAGAGAGATGAAGAAGAGTCAGAGTTCAAAAAATATTGTTTCAATAAACAAAGACCAGAGTTTTCTTTGTTAAAGAGTTTGCCTTTGATGTCACTTCCTGTTTCACTTTGGCTGAGCTGAGTTCAAAAGAAAATCTGCCAGTTACTGTATGAGTCAAAATGGGTAAAATTGTGTGCATTGTTCCAACTTTTTTAAATATAAAGATATTTTCTTTGACTTTTTGTATTTGAAGAATAATGTCACAGGCACTTTAATAAATACTAACAGTGATCTGAGCTAAATTTAGCTGGTTTTAAGGATCTCTGCTCTGAAAAGGTGTGGTTTTGTCAGAGATCTACCTGGATGCTGCGCTCACAGTCCGTCTGCTGGTGCAGCAGCAGCTCGCTCTCCAGCATGAAGCGTTTCCCGCAGTGGTTGCAGATCTGCATGCGGTTGTGGGTGACGTTCATGTGTTTTTCCAGGTACCAGCGGTTGTTGAAGACGCGGGGGCACTTCTTGCAGGCAAAGTGCTGCTTCTCCTCCAGCCTCACCTTCTGGCCGGGGCCCTCTGCGTCCGGCGTGCCCCTCCCGCTCTGCCGCCGGTTGGCGAGCGCCGCCTCGGCCAGTGTCTGTCGCATGGCGGCGGCGGCGCCCGCCATGGTCAAGGCTGCGGTGGCTCGGCGAGGTCGATCCGGAGCGGTGGGCTGCTCCAACCCYGGGAAGTTCTGGGTGTTCTCTTCCTCTTCATCATCCTCCTCCTCCTCGCTGCTCTGCCTCAGTGTGTCACCCCTCTTCAGGTCTTCAGCGTCCTCCTCCCCAGCTTCATTACTCTCTGCCTCGTTGTCTTCGTCGYCCTCTGAGCCTTGCTCATTGTTGTGGCAGTGACCAAACATGGACTCTGTGGCCGTGGTGGACTTTCCCTCTGATCCCTTTGAAACATTAAGAGTCTGGTTGTTGAGGTTGACTTCGACGATGATCTGCTCTCTGTTGAAGGAGGAGTGGCTGTCCGYCGTCTTCGACTCCTCCCCGTTGGCCTCCGCTTTACACAAAGCAGCCACGCCCGTGCTGGCCACGCCCCCTGAACCCTCCTCCTTCTGATAGTACGGTTTAATCTGAGACTTGCCCAACTCCTCCACCCTGACGGAGAACGGGCTGCTGCCGTCTCTCGCGTACGCCCTGCCCAGCTCCGACTCCAGTTTGATCTCTCGGTACAGCTGACCTGGAGGCAGGGCCACGGCGGCTGCCCCCTCCTGATCGGCCATGTCTCTGCAGGTCCTCAGCGAGTGGSTGCTCATCAGGTCGCGGCAGGACGCCGCGATGTCGCTCATCTGGAGCAGGGTGGCGGCGTTGAGCACGTCGTGAACAGTGCTGCCGCTCACCAGCAGCTTGGAGGTGTAGATGAAGTTAAGGATCTGCTGCAGGCCCTGGGAGGTCAGGGCGTCCAGCGACAGGTCCACRCGCCGCAGCTGCTTGCTCTGGGCGAAGATGGAGTGGAAGAAAGGGCTGTAGGCTGCCAGCACGCCCTTGTGAGCCGGGAAGGTGCTGCGATGGTGGACCAGAACGATGTCAACGTCACACAGGTCGGGCTGGAAGAGGCGCTGCTCGTTCAGCCTGTCCATCAAACAGGTGAAGTGCAGTGCCACATCCTCCACCAGAGAGAACTCAGCACAGGGGAAGTCTGTGGTCTTCTCCACTACGAGCTGAAAAACACACAAAAAAATGAAGAACAACCTTTACACACTGATATAAACTAGTTTTAATATTAGACATTATTTGATAAACATTTACTTCAACTATAAAAACCAGACAAAAAATACTTAAGGCTGTTTAGTTTTTGTAAATAATAAAAAACATATTACACACAGATATCACAATGTATTTATGCCGTGTTAACTCCCAAGCTAATAAATATAGAGTTAGCTTTGAAGCTAATAAATATACAGTTAGCTTTGAAGCTAATAAATATACAGTTAGCTTTGAAGCTAATAAATATACAGTTAGCTTTGAAGCTAATAAATATAGTTAGCTTTGAAGCTAATAAATATAGAGTTAGCTTTGAAGCTAATAAATATAGTTAGCTTTGAAGCTAATAAATATAGA